CAGGAGTAAGACCATAGGTGTGCAAAATAATAAACGTAGCAACCGTGATGTCACCCATTACTTTGTTGACTCCCATTCAACATTTACCATCCTGGTTTTTTGGAGCCAGAAGTGACCATATTTGGACGAGAGGGTGGAGTTTTGGTACAGAGCCCTGCATGGAGCTGTCCACGGGGCTGGATCACTGACCATTATCGCCTGCTCCTGCCCATTCCTGCAGAGTGTCTGTCAGCTCCTACACGCAACCTTAAACATTCTGACCATACATGCCCTCACAACAGTTTATCAGTAGATTGATTCTTCTATCATCCGGCAGGGCAAACACTTTATTTGACTGTGGCATTCAGAAAGATATGCACACCTGTCAGTAATTAGTAGCAAAACGACACTGTAGTGCATAATTACATCCATAATTACAGTTTCTGTGGTGTCTCTGGGAGTCAGTGTTATCATTATTATCTGTAATATTCCTGAGAAATTCCTCCAAATTTACATCCAGAAGGAAGTCGTAATGAAATGTTCTAATGAAAATTAATATAATAAGTTTTAAATTTGAATTAATGCCAGTATTTTTTTACTGCAAATATATATTGCAGTTTCCATTGTTTTATAGCTATCTATCAAGATTCAAGACCTTTAATTGTGGTTTCACACCAGTAGCAATAAAATAAGGGCAAGACACACACTGGCCTACATGACCACACATAATAATCCTTTAAAATAAAATAAATAAAAAAACATAAATACAAGAGTAAATCAGTGAGAACATCTACCAAAGTTACACTACTAGTGAAGAGAAGGTAAACAGAAACACACAAGCATGGTTAGACATGTGTTATCTACCTGTTCTGTAGTGTAGTGCAGTGGTTCTCCAACTTTCCTTTCAGAAGCAAAAAAAAAAAAAAAAAGTTCATGCCCCTCCACCCCCATATTTTCTTTTATCAATCATTAACAATAATTGAGGAAGCAACTGATAAAAAAGGATCTGTGTTGATTTTTAGAGGAGCAAAGTTCAGTGTGATAGCATCAGCAAACTCTTGTTTATTTTCTCTACATTAATCATATTCATTACACTTAGTTTCACTCTGTATTTTTCAACTGGTCATTCATGCTGCACCTGCAGTGACTCTGTCTCCAAAAGGGGCCTGCCCCACAGTTTGAGCACCACAAGTGTAGTGTAGTGTAATGTGCCCCTGATAGACCTGTCTGTTGTGCTTTACTTTAGTGCTGCTGAATTGTTGCTGCCTGAGAATTGTGCTGCTGGAAAATGTTGCATTGTGCATCGTTACATTGTGTGAACTAGCATTGTGCTGGTTTAAAGTGTGTTGCATTACATCATGATGTGCACACTGTTGCATTGTTCAGCCCTTTTTCATCTTGTGCCGCGTTCAGCTGTGTTGTAACACTGAGTCGTGTGGCTTCGCTCTAATGCCCAACGTATTCTATGCTACAGTATCACACAACCACATAATATTGTGTTGCACTGTTTACGATGCTTTAACTGTGTTACTCTGTGAAGCGTTCAAGGCCAGACTCAGCACTCTTTTAGAATAATCTTGATGCCTGTGCTGTTGCCAGGCAACAGCTGTCCTAGAACAGAGATGAATGGATGTCCCTGGGCTCTTTCTGTCTTCATCTCCATCTTTACCTTCATCTTTTATTACTTCCTTCGGTGTCTCTCGCTCCTGTACAGTGTAAACGCAGCGTGACTTTATCACTTTGCAGCAGTTTCTCTCACTCAGCAGACACTTACGGCCCTTTATGGTGTCATGATATGGATTTTGGGATGTAGCACAACTACAGATTAACATGGTCTTGATGTCACTGACTACGGGGCAGTAGGTGTTTCTCTCAGCAGCATTCTTACCTCTTTTAAGTCAGTGGTTCCCAGTTTTTCCTTGAGGGAGCCTTTCTCTATCAATGAGTAAACTGTAAACCCCTGACAAATTATTTTATTGATATTTTACATTATATTCAATGCCTAATAATAACAGTACAGAATGACTGATAAACTGTACAATTAACTCAAACGCATAACTGCAGGAAGTCTGTTTCAAACAAGCAATGTGGATGAAATTTAAGCAGATTATTTCCTGAGAATATTACTTCAGAGAGGGGGTTTCCTGTAACTTTTAGGAACTTGTAATTTATTTTTTGCCTTCTTCTTTTTTCTTTTTTAAAAAATCATACATAAGCCTACTTAGTTGGCTTCTTTTTTTGATAAATTCAGTGATTCCCCTGATGTTGGCCATTGTTCTGTTGGCTCTTTGGTTGTTTCAAATCTGTACTTTTATAATACAAGACGAGGCAGAGTAGCAGAGTGAAGCCTCCGTGAATATGAATGCAGCTTGTGTTCAGGTTTTCACTGTGTGCTTCTCCTGTGAGATTTCTTTGTGTTTATATCTTGAATAATTCAAACTTTAAAAACAACTGCATTTAGTTTTCTTCACTGAAATAAATGGCATGCTGATATATAGGCCACCTTTATATATTTTTAAAAAATGTTATTTAGATCAGTCGTTTCCAACTGGTGGGTCGCGGTCCAAAAAAGGGTCATGGGTCCATTCTTATCAACTTTGTAAAAAACACACTTTATTTTGAAGTACAGTGAATTTCCAGCATGGAGTTTTTATTTTGAAGTCCTGTTTCCTGCTGTAGAGTGAGTGAATAATGAACAGCTACTTAACAGAGACAGCACATGAGCTTGAGACATGGCCAAACACAAGTATGACGCTGACTGTATTAAACTGTGTGGACCTTGAACTAAACGACTAAAGAGAAATCTGGACCCTGTGGCTGGACCAGTTGGGAACCACTGTCTCAGAGCACTTAAAGAGGGCCTTGCAACCCCCGAAGCTTTGATGACCCATAGAGAGGGTCAAGACCTCCATAGGTTGGAAACCAATGTTCTAAGTAACTGGGCTCCGGTTGGTTAAATACTTCACCCTTAAAATGATCATTTGTATATTTAATAACTCACCCTGTTCGATGTTGAATTAGTGAAGAAAACTTGCCTCCAAGGTGAACTAAGAATCAAAAAATGGAGTTAAAGGGCGCTGTGTTTAACAGCAAAACTATATCAAAACATGTTTACAAACTCCCACACAACTGGTGAATTATAATCCAAGTCTCACTTATCTGGTAGCATGCTCAGTGCTTCCCAAACACATGCCTTTTCACTAAAACCTTACTATTTAAAACACTTGCATATGCATGGATAAGAAGTACAAGCAAAATTCAAACGCACATGTTTACCCAAGAGTTTTGAATAGTAAGATTTTAGTGAAAATGCATGTGTTTGGGAAAAACTGAGCAAGCATCTGGATAAATGAGACTTAAATTATACTGCATGAGTTGTGTGAGAGTTTGTAAACAGATGTTTTGATATAGTTTTGCAGTTGTTAAAGGTGGTGCCCTTTTACTGCAATTCATCAAGGATGTTCTCAATTTTTGGATTCTTTGTTCACCGTAGAGGCATGCAAGACAAAGAAACTTTTCTTTACGAATTCAGTGCAACACAGGGTGAGTAACTGATACACAAATTATCATTTTGTGGGTTAAATATTCCTTTAATCAGATGTTTTTCTTCATGAAATATGGAGATGACTCTTGTTGATCCACAGAAATCATCTGCCTCAGTGAGCCCTGTCCTTTTAACAATCAAGAGATCAACTTTTATCTGACAGTCTTACTTTAATCTTTGATATGTCACCTTATGTCTATAACTTGACACAGCCAAGAATTTTCATGTAGCATATACATTATGTATTGCACATACACAGCTTTGTGAATCTTCTTCATAAGTGCTTTCCACACCAGCGCTCATACAGCCGCAAACCACTGTGCAATTATTCAACTGGGCGATACTCTGGCATTAATATTGCACATTTCAATTAATATTCTTATTTACATTACTCTTTTATTAATATTTAATGCAATTATAGATCACATTTTTATTATTTAATCAAACTGGGGTTTTATATTATAGCATGGTGCACATATTTGTACAAAGTTATGTCATTTTTAAAATATTGTGCTGTGTACTGAGGCATAATGCACTTATTTTTACATACTTCTCATTTTTCTTATTATTTCTTCCTGCTTATACAGAAGAGAAACTGTAACAATGACTCAATTACCCTTGGGGATCAATGACACATTTCTATTTTGTATTTTTATAACCCCTCTGTGGGATGTTAGTCCATACATGCTGCGTCCGTCCCTTGTGAAATGCAAACACCACTAGAGGTGGGAAGCACAGATGTTTTTTTTTCTCATACAAATAATAATTCATTTGCAATGTGTGGGTTCTTTTGTTTGCGGACAAAACGCACTCGCCTTAACATGCAAATTGGCGAGGCAGCCTCGGTGCATTCCTGACACACGTGAACAGAGACCGAAATTAAAACACTCAAGTTGTGTGCAGCTGCATGGCTGATTTCTATCACATCCTATTTAACCCTGAATAGATCATGTTGGCTTTTATCAGTCTTCTGTCATGCAGCTTGCTCATGAGTGGCAACAGTGTCGATCTGTATTCAGCATTAATGTTTGAGTGTTTGGAAAGAGCAAAGACAGGCAGAGAGGCGGACAGATGTTTCTCAGTGAAAATTACAGGCTCTTAGGCAAAACATGGAGCTGTTTTGCACACTGCTTATTGAATATTGCAAAGTATCTAAATGATTTAGCAGCTGTTCACACCTGAATCTCTGTCCGTCAGGCCTGAGGGTTTGCTCGCAGAGTCTGGCCACAAAGAAATGTACCTAACACACCCACCCACACACCACCTCTCCTCCTTTCCCAGTCTGTCTCGTGGGAGGCCATAACAGAGGTTTGCTACGGTCACTACTGTTGCTGTACTAGACAGCGTGCAGGTGTCTGTTTGAATGCATCATCCATCACCGCTGCCCCGGAGACACAAGTCAAATCTCCATCCACTTTACAGACCACAGAAAGCTCCACTTTTCTCATCACACCACAGGCAGTAAACAGCAAGACAGTTTGTTTTCACTATACAGAGAATTTTAATCAATGTTAGAAAACAAAATGCAGTCAGGAGCTTATAAAATAACCTCTGAGAGCTCTTCAGCACTCGTTAGTGTGGGTATGGGAGTAACAACAGAAAGAACGAGCTTTCTTTATTGAACATGTCAGTTGTGAGACATACAGTGTAATATTTCCCCTTGAAAAGCAGTTAAGGAAAGAAGAAATTAATATAGGACACTAAGAATTTTCTGTGATAGTCTCTATGAGGTGGGCTAATTATACAAACTCTCATTAATATTCAGTTACTGACAATGATGATGAAGAACATGATGATGTGATATTGATTTACAATTACAGATTTCAATGGCCCCTGATGATGAAACACAAAAACCTGACTCAAAACTGAATCACAGTGATTTCGCTATTAATCAAAATATGCACTGTGAATGACAGGCACTTCTGAATGAGTTCACAGGTAAAGCCTTCTCCTTTAGGACAAAAAGACTGTATGATAAAGATGGACGACATGACAGCTCCCCGAGAGTGAAGCCAAAACATCTCAATTGCCCCCTGGTGGCTGGCTGCAGTATAGGCCATAAACCCCGCCCCTTACATGTCAACGGATGGGACATGGACTAAAGTAAAAAAAAAAAAAAAATCGTCGAAAGAACAGGCAAGTACTTTTTTCTCAAAGATGATTTCTATTATTTTAGGCAGTTCTTGTCGCAGATTAAACCTGGGGTGGAGTTTTGTGTGGAGTTTGCATGTTCTCTCCGTGTCAGCGTGGGTTTTCTCCAGGTACTCCGGCTTCCTCCCACAGTCCAAAGACATGCAGGTTAATTGGTGACTCTAAATTGTCCGTAAGTGATCGATAAACCCAGGATGCAGTGATGGTGCCCTTGCAAAATACTGTCAGAAAGGAATACACACAGTGACACGGCTAACTGTTAGCATCACACAGCTGTTGTTTTTGTTTTGAAAGATGTTGCAAATCAACTGCGACTGGCTGCATCAGAAAATAGATCAACATCGGGCATGAGAGTCCTGCGAGACAGAGTCTGGGATTTTTCAAGGTGCGTTCATAAGTTGTTTTATTCGCTGTAGATCTTTGCAATAATTCACTGAAAGAACAAAGCAATCAGGCCATATTGCAGGAATCAAATCTCCATCAAAACTTGCAATTTTCAGTATGTAGGTTAGCTCTGAGGTTGTTGTTTCCCATAGCAAAGGGGATTTTGAAAACAGTTAGCATGCAGATAGCGGAAGGGCAGGTTTCTAGCCACAGTCTGATCCAGTGACTCAGAATAGCCGTCTTGCAAACTATTCTTTCTTTCCTAGCTATTATGGTTAATGTTACTGTAACTTGCATGCTAACAAAGTGGCAACTGTCACATCATTTCAGTGTATTGGCTAAAAAAATACTAATGTTTTAGTCTGAGTTCTGCCCTTGTTATTTTGCGCATATTTGTCACCAAAGCTTCGATGCCCAAAACTGATTTGCGGGACAGCCCTGGTTATCTGATGCTATAAAGGTGGTTTGCCGACATGATTGACAACTGTGTGTGCTAATGGAGTGCCTGCGATCAATGGTGCTGCTCACGATTGGTTGGACTCAATACTGTGGGGAATGCTAATGAATGGACTCGGGCTCAAAATGGCGTCACCAGCACAAGACTGCAGCAGCTGTATCCCGGATATTTTGGCTTCGCTTTTGTACAATGGGAGGAAATAGAGATGCGTTGTCCATCTTTATATACAGTCTACATGTAGGACAAAAACACTTTGTCTAAAATTATATATCTCCCATATCAACCATTCAACTTGTAAAAAAGTGATTCCCAAATTAATATCATGCTAACAGTATGAATGTCTTTGTCGTTTGCAGGAAAATAAAATGGATATGAGTGCTTTCTCTGGCTTGTTTGTACAATAACTGAACACAGACACTTAAGATGTATGATCCTCACTAACCAGCGCTTTCTCAAATGCCTCAGCTTGCTTTTGAGGATCATATTGCTGCATAGCACGGATCAAAATCCACAGCATAGAGGAGAATATGCTCCATTTTTTTGCACTCTAAAATGATCTTTGGTGAAAATGTAAACAATTGCACCAGAACACTAAAGTAATGCTTTAAAGTCTTGTAGCAAAAATGAAAACAAAATAACTCAACATCTCCATACAAATATATATTTACCTGATTAGGACTTCTACGACTAGTTGTCAGATAGCATGGATTAGGATAACTTGCCCTGCCTTCACACTTTACACAGCAAACAGAGCTCACAATAAGCAAGCTGTAATCCACTATCGCCACTTCCTCCTTGAACAGTGAGGACAGATAATGCAGTGAGCATTGTGGTGCACATTGCAACAGAGTTACTCTTTAGGATCCCTTTATGATATTGATTAACTGAAGCATAATGAACGTAAAAGGCAGGTGCAATGAGCAGGGTGATTTGAGGGTTGAAACAAAGGCGAGGCAAGCTAAAATACATGGGTGAAGGTGGATAGGCATCATCGGTCTCTCTGGTCCCAGACATAAGGCACATTATTAGGGCTCATAGTGTTGTCACCAACACTAACACCCTGTAATATAAAAATCAGTCTGAAAATATGCCTGGTAAATTTGACATTTTGCAGCCTACACTGTGCATCATTCTCCAAAGAGTGCAGGACACATGTGCCCCTCAGTCTGTAGTCTATCCATTCAACTATCCACCTACCCATCCATCCATCCATCCTTCTGTCTGTCCACTGTCTGACGGCCCTCTACCACTGCTCCCAGCTGAAGTCGTCCCCACCTCCAAACACGACAAAGAAGCCGAAGATGGTGAGGAAGATGACAGCGTTTCCTGTCATCACCAGACCGCAGGCGCCCCACTGGATCTGCAGGAGAAATATATTCACACTCAATTAGACCAAAAAGAATCCACAGTCCTCTGTTGGGGTTCACAACGCTCTGCTGGCACGTCTCTCAGGATACAGTGCAGGAGACTCGGTGCAGACAGCAGAGGCATACAGTACAGGCCAAAAGTTTGGACACACCTTCTCATTCAATGCGTTTTCTTTATTTTCATGACTATTTACATTGTAGATTCTCACTGAAGGCATCAAAACTATGAATGAACACATGTGGAGTTATGTACTTAACAAAAAAAGGTGAAATAACTGAAAACATGTTTTATATTCTAGTTTCTTCAAAATAGCCACCCTTTGCTCTGATTACTGCTTTGCACACTCTTGGCATTCTCTCCATGAGCTTCAAGAGGTAGTCACCTGAAATGGTTTCCACTTCACAGGTGTGCCTTATCAGGGTTAATTAGTGGAATTTCTTGCTTTATCAATGGGGTTGGAACCATCAGTTGTGTTGTGCAGAAGTCAGGTTAATACACAGCCGACAGCCCTATTGGACAACTGTTAAAATTCATATTATGGCAAGAACCAATCAGCTAACTAAAGAAAAACGAGTGGCCATCATTACTTTAAGAAATGAAGGTCAGTCAGTCCGGAAAATTGCAAAAATTTTAAATGTGTCCCCAAGTGGAGTCGCAAAAACCATCAAGCGCTACAACGAAACTGGCACACATGAGGACCGACCCAGGAAAGGAAGACCAAGAGTCACCTCTGCTTCTGAGGATAAGTTCATCCGAGTCACCAGCCTCAGAAATCACAAGTTAACAGCAGCTCAGATCAGAGACCAGATGAATGCCACACAGAGTTCTAGCAGCAGACCCATCTCTAGAACAACTGTTAAGAGGAGACTGCGCCAATCAGGCCTTCATGGTCAAATAACTGCTAGGAAACCACTGCTAAGGAGAGGCAACAAGCAGAAGAGATTTGTTTGGGCCAAGAAACACAAGGAATGGACATTAGACCAGTGGAAATCTGTGCTTTGGTCTGATGAGTCCAAATTTGAGATCTTTGGTTCCAACCGCCGTGTCTTTGTGAGACGCAGAAAAGGTGAACGGATGGATTCCACATGCCTGGTTCCCACTGTGAAGCATGGAGGAGGAGGTGTGATGGTGTGGGGGTGTTTTGCTGGTGACACTCTTGGGGATTTATTCAAAATTGAAGGCACACTGAACCAGCATGGCTACCACAGCATCCTGCAGCGACATGCCATCCCATCCGGTTTGCGTTTAGTTGGACGATCATTTATTTTTCAACAGGACAATGACCCCAAACACACCTCCAGGCTGTGTAAGGGCTATTTGACCAAGAAGGAGAGTGATGGAGTGCTGCGGCAGATGACCTGGCCTCCACAGTCACCGGACCTGAACCCAATTGAGATGGTTTGGGGTGAGCTGGACCGCAGAGTGAAGGCAAAGGGGCCAACAAGTGCTAAACACCTCTGGGAACTCCTTCAAGACTGTTGGAAAACCATTTCAGGTGACTACCTCTTGAAGCTCATGGAGAGAATGCCAAGAGTGTGCAAAGCAGTAATCAGAGCAAAGGGTGGCTATTTTGAAGAAACTAGAATATAAAACATGTTTTCAGTTATTTCACCTTTTTTTGTTAAGTACATAACTCCACATGTGTTCATTCATAGTTTTGATGCCTTCAGTGAGAATCTACAATGTAAATAGTCATGAAAATAAAGAAAACGCATTGAATGAGAAGATGTGTCCAAACTTTTGGCCTGTACTGTATCTCCACAAACAAATAAAAGTCAGTGATGCTGACTGTGTTTGCTGTATGCAAATCAACCTCCAAAATACTTCAACATGGGCAGAGAGAACTCACTGTGCTTTTGCGGGCTAGCACAATGGGAAGCCCAAAAGCTGATACCACAATGCCAGTTGTTAAGAAGTAGGCCAGTTCTCTGCATGCATTGGAGGATTCAGTGTCATCACTGAGGCGTCTGGCCATGAAGGTCGGGATGGGGCTCAATATGTAGAAAATCAGGACAAACAGCGGCCAGTATACCCTACAGGAAACAGGTGTAGATTAAAGGGATGGTACACATTTTATGACATACAATGGCATGAGTTTTCAGTCAGGAGTGGAAGTCCATTTGTGCCAGTGTGATGAACAAAAAAAAAGGATCCTTTAAGTCATTAAAATGAGAAGATTTCTCATAATTTTGAGATATTAGGTCAATATTTAAAGATAATAAGTCATCATTTTGAAAGATGTGAGACATTGTTTTGAGAAAGTTTCTCATTTTTTCAAAAAAGTTATTCTTTTCTGAAAGCTTGTTGTTTCTTTGAGATATCAAGTCATAATTTTAAGAACGATTCTTGATATTTTGGAATAAGTGAGACAGTATTTTGATGAAGTTCTCCATTATTTTAAAAAGTGTTTCTTGTTATTTTGAGTAAGATTCTCATTACTTTGAGATACTACGTCATTATTTTGAGATAAGTGAGTTACTGTTACCAAATCCTTATTTTGGGAAAGTTTCTCTCTTTTTTTGAGATATTAACTCATTATTTTGGGATAAGCAAGTTACTGTTTTGAGAATGTTTTCCATTATTTAAAAATAGTTATGATTGTGAGAAAGCGTGTTGGTACCTTGAGATATCAAATCATGATTTTGGGAATGTTTCTCATTATTTTGAGATGATTGAGTTATTGTTTTAAGAAGTTTTTGATTATCTGTAAAAAGTTATTATTTTGAGAAAGCTTGTTGTTATTTTGAAAAAAATTCTCATTATTTTGAGTTACTAAGTCAATATTTGGAGACACATTTAATTAAAACTACATACAGGATCTGTTTTTCTCATCATGCTAGTAGAAATGGGCTTACATAGTCAGATACAAGGGTGCAAATTCAGCAGCAACAACAACAAAAAAAAGAAACAACAATGTCCCAAAACAAGTCACTAAAATATTTGGCCATCTGACAAGATAATAAAACACAACGCTCAGTTTACCTGTTACAAGAAGCATTACTATATCCTATAAAAATACTGTCTTCTGTTACTAAGAAGGAGATTTCATATGTATTAAAAAAAATACCCCTAATGACATCAGAGTTATCTCAGCTTGGCTAAAGGTTTATTTATTTATTCATTTGTAAGAGAAATTCTGCATTACAAACTGGCAGCGTTGGGTAGAAAGAGGTGGGCATTTAGAGGGCAGGGGGGCTTTAATGAAAGACGCTGTTGAGTTACATTGTGGAAATTGCTTGACACATACAAGAGAATAAATTTCTCAGTCTCTGCAGCATCCATTTTGACCATTATTTTTAAATCTGCCTGCTAAAAGTCCTTAAACGTTATGGAAGTGCAATACTCAGATGCTGGAGCACAAATTCAAGAGCATTTTGAGTGTCCTGTTGTTTTTCTTAACTGTTGCTGTTCATATTTCTCTGACTAACTGCCACTTCACTGGAAAAAAAGTGTAAATAAATCGTAACCCTTTGAAACCTGGAGCGACATCACTTTTCTTGTGCTGCCTTCAGACTACTTTGGCAAGTATTTAAACTTTTGAACCCCGAGCAAGTTGGTGTGACTTCTTTCAAAAACATGGGGGAAAAGGCAATAAGCAACTTGGTAGAAATGTGCGACAAATTGCAAAAAATTATTTGATGTAAAGTTTAATTTTTTAAAAAAATGGGGAAAAAAAGAAAAAGCTAGGGAAAAACTATATTCATAATTATTTGTATTATTATTACTACATTTTAAAATTAAGTTACAGTATTATTAGAATTTTGAGCACTCTTCCCAGGTCATTTCCTTGCATTTTCCTTCGATTTTTTATGTTGTATATTTATTTATTTATTTTTACATATTTTCTTGTTTGTTAATTTCTCTTATTAATCCTTTTTTTCCCCTAATTTTTTGGGTCATTTCTTCTTTCATTGCCCATTGCCTTTTTCCCAGGTTTTTGAAAGAAATCAAGCCAGTTTGCTTCGGTTTCAAAGGGTTAATAAGCCTAAATATTGCATGTTAAATCATGTAAATGTCATATAAATACTTAGATGAAACAAATGAACCTACCCGTACTGTTCCAGTGCACAGCCCAGAAGGAGAAATGTAAGTCCAATGGCACCACTGAAGGACAAACCAACCAGTGCTGAAAAACACAAGCATTACATTAACCTTACAGTATACTAACCAAAGTCATAAGAAGCAAAACATTAATACGCTCGTCCTGAAACACTTAACGTTACAGTGCTATTTGTCTGTATGCTAAGTTAACATTTAAGATGCATTTACTGTGAAACAACTGCAATAACCAAGAAATATAAACAGGTTGACAACTTAATAATGGAGCAAACGCTACGTAGCTGTTTACAAAAATCACATCCTCAGGTAGTGTTGTAACTTCAGCTTTCGAAATGATTCAGCAAAGGTTTTCAAAACGTTGGAAACGTGAAGCTAACACAGTTTTCTGAAGCGTTGCGTCTGTGTAAGTTAATGAACGTAAATCTCAACTGTCGACTAGTACATAGGAGCATAAAATCATTTACCTTTAATGCCGGCCATTGTAGTAAATGTGAGAAAGTTTCTCTTAGACTTTAGCTCAGTTCTTTGTGTTTTGGTTATGTGGTCGGGCTCTTCTTCTCGGTGGACGGACTTCCTGCTTCCTCCATCAGAGTTTTCCTTCTTTGTTGTCAGGTGACCGTCTTAAAGCGGCAGTAACACAGCAGCGAGTCTGCCTGAGGTGTTGACGTCACTACCAACTGTGTGACTGTGTAACGTTACTGAACGTGCAGGCTCACCTGAACACCACCTGGGGCCTGTATCACAAAGCAGGATTATGTCTTAGCGAGGTAACTTCAGGGTTAACCCTGGGTTTTCGGTCTCACGAAGCCGGTTCAGTTCTTATCGGGGTAGATCACCATGGTAACTTACTCTGAACGGCTATCCTGCTCCGGAGCAGGGTAAGTTCAGGATTGAACCTGATTCTATAAAAAGCACCACCCACTGGCCAATCAGCTGTTCGGAAAAAAATGACTCAGCTGACAGAAATGCAGCCCAGACATGACGGGAAGTTTAATTAATTTGATTGATTTAGATTTGAAAGTTTATTTTGAACATTAAAAAAGAAAAGAAAGCAACAACAACAGACAATGAAAAGATTGTTCAAAAAGGAGTGGAAAGAAGTCGAAATTTCATCCCACCCCTTCATAAGAAAGAAACTGATCATTTGCGGACACTTAATAGCACCATTAATTAGTGCCAACATTTTTTGTTGTTGGAGGAAATGATCCCTGTTAAAGATAATGGGCCTAATTGACAGCTTTGCTGCTGGAAATGTGGAAAGTAGCCTATCATGTCTACACTTCATGGTGTTTGAGGGATTTTCCTTTTTGTTTTTTAAAGAGGGAGACTAGGTATATTTCTGCGCAGCTGTTAATTTCTAACACAGCTCAATATCAGGATGATTTTATTCAGACTATCAATTTGGTGTTGATATGATTTAATTGTGGCGTCAGCTTTAAGCTTTATTGTAGCATATATAACGTTATGACAAAGAAGACCAATTTATCAGACGCAATGATGTTAGACGATAATTGTAATACACGCAATTCATCTGCGCAGCA